ATTTAAGTTACATACAGGCGACCAGGCACCTGGACTTAGTATTGGGATAGTTTAATAATATCGAGTAAAAGCTACAGTGTGACTCATTGCTTGCACCATATATCAGGCCTCAAAATGTCAAGTCTTACATTGCTAGACAGGCCAAAATGTACTGGTGAGCTTATAGATACCATGTCACACTTGCCAGGGCTGAATTTTGACAGAATTTTTGACTGAATTTTGACAGAATTTTTGACTGAATTTTGAACCCCCCATTTTTATCTCAAATTAGGTCTGTTTAATGCAGTTCTTCTAGTTTTACCACTTCCATTTCTAGCTTCTTGCGTGAAATTAGTGGAGACCGTGTACGTGTACCACATTAACCCCTAACCCAGAACCCTTCCCAATAACTGACACAAGACGTATACAGGTATATGGTGAAAATAGGTCACATCAGTTATTAACCATTCACCAATAATTTGACTTGTATACAATATAAATATCAGTACATAACTTGTCCTTGCCAATAACGAACAATCCATAAATTATTAACTTAACAATTCCCTGTGTGCTACCACTCCCACTCATCTTACCAATCCTTAACCACATCTCTAGGCTTATCACCCCATTAGCGCTGACCACTAGCCAGCCTTTAGCTCTGTGCGCTGTCCATACCTTAACCACACCTCTGGGGTTATCACCCCATTAGTGCTGACCACTAGCCAGCCTTTAGCTCAGTGTGCCGTCCATACCTTAACCTCACCTCCCGGGTTATCACCCCATTAGCGCTGACCACTAGCCAGCCTTTAGCTCAGTGTGCCGTCCATACCTTAACCACCACCTCGGGGTATATTGCCCCAATAGTACTGACCACCTTTAGCTCAATGGGCACGTCCATAACATTTTGAAATTCGTAGAGGAGTGAGCCCCACTACACCATCATAACCATTTAGTTCCAATCCACCCCAATTGGCAAGGACACACCATAACATCAGAGATAAACAATTTAAAATCAAAGGGAGGCAGGGTGTGAGCTGTTGTTGAGCATATTATGGAAGTAAAATGTCTGAAGTAAGAACTGCGAAACACGCACTTATATATCCGGAACCTTGCCCCCCCTAGCTGTCAGCCATGCACTAGCATTCACTGAACATTACCTATTCACTGCCCCACACTCACACAAGACCTTGTCCTGTCCAGCTTGGCTTTCCTCTCAAGGGTCAGTTTTGAAGTTGGCTGAAAATCAGTCGTGGTATGTAAACATAGAACATTTTCCAGTATCAAAGTAGTGTACTGCGCACAAGTTGAAGTACGGAGGGGCCCTGTGGTAGATGTCCACAATATCCCCAGACAAATTCTATAAACAGAGGCCCACAGGCATTACAGAATAGTGCAAAAATAATAAGGTTTATTAAACCATACGAACAAAGAAAAAATGGATCATACAACGTTTTGGCCCTAAGGCCTTAATCATGTTCAAAAAACATACGCAAACTATACCATAACCTAGGGCACAGGGGAATTAGAGAACCATCGACAGCTCAGGGTACAAGAGAACCCCATTGTGAATTGAAGGCACGTATTCACTCAGTTTATTACCTTTTAACTACATTTTGTTTAATTATTTTTAAACACAAAAAAAGTAGCCTTCACACTGCGAGACAATATGAGTCAAGAAATCTGGACTCTTCATAGTTAAATGGAATCCAATATTTCTTTATTAAAGGTTTGCTGTGTAGCAAGAGGGGTGAGTTATTTGTTTAATATGGGACTAATTTAGATATTTCCTGAAAATTTACTCCTGAGCATCTTCCAAGCAAATCAAGCAATCTATGGGTTCTTTTGTGGTTTTACAGGACAATTTTGAATGTATTTGGAAAGGATTCATTCAGAGATGAAATTGAAAATGTCCAAGGTTAGTAATTAAGTGAATTTCCTCTGAAATGTTGCCTCTGAATTCCCTTATATTATTTCATAATTAAAAAATTGAATTGCAATTTATACCAGATAGCAGATTGTTGGGGTTTTTTTAAACTCAAGATGTTTAGCCTAAACTTCCGCAAATTAGTTGTGAGCTCACCATATTGTACTGTTTAGTAAATAAACTATTTAGCTTCCAACACTTTCATAGACCTCTTGAGAAATTAGCAGATATCCCAACTTTGCACAATTAGGAATGTCAAAGGTTGACAGCAAAACTACACAACAGCTGTTTATAGGACTGTTGGCACAGTGGTGACACTTTGGTCCTGGCTGCTGAGGGATGTTATCCTAATTACTAGGGACATTTCCTGGCTTCCTGACTATTCTCGATGACCTTCTGGAGACCTTTCTGTATTCTTTTGGCAGTTCTGAGTACTGTTTTGTTTTACACCCCTCACATCATTCATTACTTAGGATAACAAATGAAAGCAACTGCAATATATGTCTTAGACAACACTGTCTAGCCAACCATGCAATCTTCTTGACCTTTCTACAGCTGTTCCATTTACTGTGATCTCTTGGGTGTAACCAGGTAACTTTAATATGTAATACCACTGATTTAAATTTAAATTGATTGGTCTACTAATACCTTCTAAGTTTCCACAAAAAAGCAATTATTTTTTTATTTGTATTTTTTTGTGTGTGTGTGGGTTTTTTCCCCAATTATTTTTGTGAAGTTTATTTCTTATACACACACATGCACGCCCACTAGACATGTGCAAAAATGTGGTCTTCTATAAACGAGCCGGGTCAAAAACGTTTTAATCCACATCCGAATTAGTCAATTTGGCTTTATTTTCCAGATGTATCGGTTTGTTTGTGTGTGGATTAAAAGGATTTTTGATTCAGGCAATTCAGTGAGTTTATAAACGGACCAAATTTTGGCACGTCTAGATTGTACACACACATTTATAATATAGATCAGTACATAGCTCTCCATCTCAGTAAAGTCACTCAGTCTTTCTTCCTTCCAAAGTCAATAACATAAGACCCATTAAAGTTCCAGCAAGTCCCATTAAAGGGACACTCTAAACACCAAAAACCATCATCCATTTTCTCAGACAATGTAAAACACTGCCCTTCTGAGATACAAAAATTATACATTTGTCTGAGGATTCAGTGCTTCTCTAAGAGAAGCATCGAATTTGCAGAACTCAGCCATAGGCCCTCAATACTTCTCTATGAAAATATTTAGATTGGACAGAAATCTTCAGCATATATGATCTCAGAATAGGTAGAGTAGTGGCCCCAAGAACACGGTTCCAGCCAGGGCTGGTACAAGGATTTCTGCTGCCCTTGGCAAAGATCCATTTTGCCGCCCCCTCATTTCACTCTCTCACTGACAGACACACACACTCACTGACAGACACACACACACACACAGAAACTCACTGACAGATACACACACAGGCAGACACTCATTGACAGACACACGCACACAGACACTCAATGACATGCATACACTCACTCACTGACAGACGCACACACAGGCAGACACTCACTGACAGACAGACACACACAGGCAGACACTCATTGACATACATACACTCACTCACTGACAGACACACACAAACAAACACACTTACTGCCTAGTTTGCCTAACGGTGGCGCTGGCCCTGGTTCCAGCACTAGATTACAGGTAAGTTTAATAGTGTTATTTACTTTTTCTATTTAAATCATGAGCTGCAGTGCTCTAACAGGACTGGAACAGTCTATTTTTAAGTATATATAGAAGGCTTGACCTGTAATTGTGGGAGGCACTATGAACCCTATTTAAACCCAGTAAGCCCCTGCTTACCTGTCGGCTACGTTCTCGGAAGTGCTCCTGTTTACTTCCGGTTCACTGGACTCTGACATCATTTTCCCGCCCGCCCGCCCGCCCGCCCGCCCGCCGTCAGTCTGTCGTCAAAACTTTCTTTCAGTTCTGTGTTCGTGAGTATAACTAGAAAGCCAGCGCACGAACAGCTAACTGTAAGTTATACTCTTTTCATACGAACGCACCCCTGTACTTTCACTAGACCACACGTTAGTTAAAATTTTCTGTTCAGTTACCACGGCACTTAAAATAAACGGGCATTCGTATAAACTTTCGTTTCCTCACATAGAACCAATTCGTCAGTATCTGTTAAAGCCCGTTCAGCTAAAATACATGTGTTACTATTCATTCGTACGTTGCTACCTTTCGTGTAAAACCCGCGTTTCGTGCAGTCCTTTTGTAAGCTTTCTTACGTTCCAATTCATATACATCTCTCGATGTCCGTTTGTTTAAAAAATATCATGCATAAACGTTTATACATACACTGTTACCTTTCGTATAGACCTGCGTTCGTGCAATCTTTCATACGTTTCACCACCTCTTACTATACGCTTGCATAAAGTAATGAGTGTTCAATCCGTTCGTTCAGCCGATCACAGCCTTGTTCTCATTAGTACTGCATTTCGTATTTGAATTCGTATGGTTCCATTAGTCTCAAGTTTAAATTTCCTATGTTACTATTGTTCACTAAACAAACTGCACAGTATCTATGGCGGTTACATTTATACAAATTCTTAAAGTACTTTGTTATTACTGTTCGGCTTTACCCTGCAGAAGTTTTCTTAAAACCATGGTATGTGTATTTTACATTGGAGTTAAGGTATGTTAATTCGCTTTTTAGGTGACCGCTCTACGCTCAAATGCTTTCTTAAACAGTTCTTAACATTATAGCATACTCCTCTAATGCACTTATGTTATACAATGCAATTTTCATTACATATGAATATATCAATTAAGACGGTTCTGTTTCCATGTTTAAAGATTACTCACTTACATTGGTTGCAGTGGGGCCTTCTTGGTTATTTCAACTGCAAGGTTATAGAGGTAGGCCCTAAATTTCATACCTAATTACATTGTTATGTATTACTTTCTGGTAATCAGAACATGTATTAAATAAGTCACATTTCCCAACCACTAGTTGAACAACAATTGCCCTACCAGGACAAGCAATCCTCATAAATCTTTCAAGTTATATACGGTTAGTATCTACTGACAGGCCCAGCAGCATAATTTCTATGGTCATCTCCTGGGGAATAGGTTGTAACTCAATTATTATGACTTGTTTTAGGTTCAAGTAGGGGTCTTTCTTAAACACTTCCGAACATGTCATACAGGATAATAAACAGGTATGTCGAATCATAATACCCCGCTAGGTTGATCGCAGGTTATAATAAACCCTCACCAATTAGAGCCTAGAGTTAGTGGTCCCGCAAGACCGATTATCGCTCCGTTCAGCAGAGGTCCAAGCCCAATCGGCACAACGCATAGCTATAGCCTTGCATCTAATCATAGTTAGGGCCTCACTCGTCACAGCCAATCGATAATGCATCTTATACGTGTCACCGAGAGGCCAACACCCCGCCACTAAGGCCCCATGAGCCAAATCATAGGAAGAGCCTCTCAATGCCACTTGGCAAGTAGTCAGGGGGTCACCTGTCACCATTATTAGTAAGTTAATACAATTTCACCTCAGGGCACTAATCTAGCAATCTGGGTTACTTCAGATCCACACAATTCCATACTAACCTAAGCTATCTGCCTCACACCCTTAGCATGTCTAAGGCTTCCATACAAGGAGATGACCTGTCGGTTGCCAGCACCCCGACCAGATCAGGCTTACAGAGAAGGCATGCAATACCTGCAAGCCCAGAGTCCAGCTATAGGTCCTGGATGATTCCAAAAACCACCACGGAACTCAAAAAAGAGGAATATCCCCTTCCCGGCCACAGCCAGGAAAGCTGAACTTTTTCGGTTGCTAAACATTCAGGAGGACGATGAAAGGCCTGGCCCTAGTTCTGAGTTTAACGTGCAAAACAGCCTATCAGAACTGTCCCTTGTGTCTTCCATAGCCACTATTAATAACAGGCTGGATAATCTAGAATCTAATAGTACACCTATCATTCCGGAGGTTCCTGTTCCCATACCCCAGCCTGAGCCTAACCCAGGAGGTAACAAGAACCCTGTACCCGCCAAAACTACCAACATTATTAACCCTATCCACGTCATTCCACAAAACCTGAAGCGTGACATTATAGAATGGAAAGACATTAACTTGGCTTCACTACTGATAGCTTCTCAAGACATGATTGAAAACAGATCATATACGTTTGATGACCTATCAGTAGTTCTGAAGTCCAGAGACCCTAGACTGAACAGGAAACTTAACATCCCTGAGTTTGTCCTGGCCTTCGGTCTATACAGAGACGTTATCTGTACAGCCTTTCCCCTCCATAGAGAGGAACTTGACTTCTACCTTCATAAAATCATTGACCTGGCATACAAGTACGGAGGCTATGCCTTTTATACATATCACAAATCATTCGCTTCCAGGTCAGCTGCTTCACTCACCCAATACAATACTAACACCGACTGGGGTCAGTTAGACACCAAACTGTTCCTTAGGCATTTTGCGGGTCTCAAGACGCCTTCTTGTGCCATATGCTCGTCAGCAGCCCATACAGTCAACTTTTGTCCTGACAACACAGCAGTTCCCTCTACCAGTAACGCCAACCCTGAGTATCAATCCAATACTACACAGAGAGAGTTGAGAGACAAACTAGGCAGGCCAATTGTTTTTTTGGGGTAAGGCACAAGTCTGTAATAATTTCAATGCTGGTGTTTGTAGTTACAGTGCTTGCAGGCTTCTTCATGTGTGCTCACTTTGTTACAGGGTGCATGCTAAAATAATGTACCCTAAAAGATCCTCCACTCCAATAAACGTTCTTAATTTGCAATGCTACCTGTCTAATTATCCTTCTTTACATCTGGTAGAATTCCTCACATCTGGTTTTACTGACAGGTTTCACACAGGTTTTGTTACTCTATTTTGGAATGCCCCAACCTACAGTCAGCACTCACAGACCCCAGTAGCATACATGAACTCCTACTCAAAGAAATTAACAACGGCTTCATGATAGGGCCTTTCACAACACCACCTTTCACCTACTGGAGAACAAACCCTCTGGACATAGCTACGGGGATATTTAATAATAAAAAGAGGCTTATAATTGACTTTTTGGCACCTCACAATTCCACTACACCTAGCTTAAATGCACTAATTTCATCAGAAGATTTCTCCCTTCAATACGCTAGAATTGATGATGCCATACAAGCCATCATTCATTCCGGTAAGGCTGCATGGTTAAGCAAAACCGACATTACTAATGCGTTTAAATTACTACCCATACAGCAGTCACTCTGGCACCTGCATGGCGTTAAGTGGGAAGACAGGTATTATTTTGCGACCAGGCTAACTTTCGGCTCCAAGAGTAGCCCCAAGATATCTGATATCTTCGCCGAGACTTTAACCTGGCTCCTACTTAACAAGTGCAGATGTCCAGTAGTCATCCACTATTTAGACGACTTCCTCACCATCGAACCACACCACTACACATCAAGCAGCCTACGTCTCTTTTCAAAGATCTAGGAGTTCCTGTTGCCCCAGACAAAACAGAAGGTCCCAAAAGCGAGATTACTTTCCTGGGCATTACACTTAATTCCATATCTATGCAAGCCAGCCTCCCCCAAGAGAAAGTAGACAGAATTCTCTCTTATATCATCAGCTGCACATCACAAGGCTCTTGCACCAGGAAGCGCTCTAATTTACAGGAGTTTTTCAGAATCCATCCATCGGCAAACGCACAACCCAGACAACCTCTGAGCTTCACAGACCTAATCATGCTTTAAATACCCTGTTACTCCATAGTAGGTCGCTCGCACAGGCTGGTTTATCTCTTAATACAAAAAAAGCATATTTAAGAGCATATGATTTGTTTAAAAGATTTGTTCGTGATTATTATATAATAAATGTTTTTTCCGTAGAAACCATGGTCGCATTTACAACTTTTTGCCACATTTCTCTTAAATTAGCTTACAATTCAATCAAACTTTACTTAATGGGCATACAACACTACATGTTAACTGGTTATCCCAACAAAACTAAATTTTTAGCATCCTACCCAGTTAAAAGTGTCCTTAAATTTATTCAGAGACTAACAGTACATAATCCCATTAAGAGACTTCCGATAGACAGTACACTGTTTAGGAGTATCTCCGATGTACTAAACAAGTCCCCTTTTGAACAAGCCCCCTTTTGAACCTAATTATCAAGTCCGCGGCTTACATAGCCTTCTATGGTTTCTTAAGACCTAAGGAATTCTTTGTAGAAAAGGCGTTCGACTTTAAGTCATGCCTTCAGCAAAAACACCTAATTAAAAAACAGGACCACTACATTCTGTCAATTACTCATACCAAAACAAGCCAAACTGGTCCACCAGTAGAGATTAAATATTATCCTACCTCTACCAAATGGTGTCCAATCCACATTTTGGATAAACTGGTGGAATCCCAACTCTGATTCCCCACTATTGGCCATTCAAAGTAAACCCCTAACCACCAAACAATTCACACTTTACATTCGTACGTTATTACTTCGGCTAGGGCATAACCCACATTCATTCTTGGGCCATTCATTCTGTATTGGAGCAGCCACATCTGCCTCCGGAAATCACGTACCAACACATATCATTAAAAATATGGGTCGCTGGAAATCATCCGCATACAACAGATACCTCCCCAATCCTGAGAAAAAAATAGGATTGGCTTTCCGTGAAATGTCTAAGTAATGTTATGCTTAAATAAATGTATCTGACTTAAAGAATCGCTTCTTATATTTTTGCCGTCTTTTACAGGTCTAACTTCACATCATTTTCGGTACACCGCAACTGACTTTGCTCGTACTACATTTTGCTTCTTTCTTATTATTCCATACGTCCTCTAAATGTGCCGTACACAAATAGAAGGCTTGGCCTGTAATTTGTGGGAGGCACTATGAACCCTATTTAAACCCAGTAAGCCTCTGCTTACTTGTCGGCTATGTTCTTGGAAGTGCCCCTCCCACCGCACCCTCTATTTATTCTCACTTCACCTAGGTGGGCCCTTTTTTACAGGTCTAACCTCACGTGAGTTTCGGCACACCTCAACTGACTTTGCTATTACTACATTTTGCTTCTTTCTTATTATTCCATACGTCCTCTAAATGTGCCAAACACAAATATATATATATAACCGCCCATAAACCAAGAGGCTGCACTCACCTAAACATGCATACATTATCGAGCGCTGCTGGGGCCAATTTATACAACATACAAGATCCAGCGCACTCACTCACTCACTCACTAAACAGCAATTTGAAGTTCTACAGAATTTAATCATTTTATTTAAAAACACCCAATCTAGGCAAAAATTGATGGGGGTTTAGTTACATTATATGATCATACATTGCATACGCCTGACACAACATCAATGTATCCCATCTCTGGCAGGTCCTACTCTAACAGCCTAATGCCTGTGTGTGTATGTATATATATATATATATATATATATATATATATAAATGATTGGAAATGACTGCACTCCAAGGACTTGATGATAGTAAAAATAAAATATAACTTTTATTCTATATCATTTAAAAATATCGACGTTTCAGCCCCAATACATGGGCTTTCATCAGGATGGCAATAATATTAGTCCTTGGAGTGCGGTCATTTCCAATCATTTTTTTGTATCCTGTGCCTGACCAGCACCAGACAATTACTCTCTAATCCAGGAGTGCAAGCATCTCGGTTTTCTATATATATTTATATATATATATATCCATATACCAACGATGACCAGCACTCACGGGTTCATTAAGAAATTAAAACATCAAAAGTTTAATGCAAAATGCTTAAAAAAGTTGTTGACAGCTCAACGTTTCAGTCCTCCTCTGGGACTTTCATCAGGAGCAGTGCATTCATCAGGAGCAATTTTGCATTAAACTTTTGATGTTTTAATTTCTTAATGATCCCGTGAGTGCTGGTCATCGTTGGTATATGGATATTTATTTTTCCCTGGACTACAAGCACCCGGCATGTAATTTTGGAGCCTGAGCGCAAGGACATTGTGTATTTATTTATATATATATATATAGCCTGTAGTTGTGGGAGAGGTTATCCGAACTATTTAAACTCAGGCTTTTGTCCTCAACAACAAATACATATAGTATTTTTAACGTTGGAGTGTTGCTTTAGGATGGGTATCGGATCCCTATGTGACACCAAATTAAAGGTACACCCCACTGCCCAAATAAAAATAAAATCACTGTTTAGTTGATATACCCAAAATGAAAACATGCATCTATTTAATTAAACATTTTTCATTGGAGTTATATATAAAACAGCTTTCAAAACCTGCATATCTCTTAAATATATTAGATATTATAATAATATATTTTGATAATATTGGAAATATGCTTTGGGGAGCAACATTAGAGATCTTTTTTCAAAATTGCTATTTGGCTTTTGTTGAGTGACAAGTCAGAAGTAAATATTCCAGACTAAATCTTAATTGTAATTTTAAGGTGAAGAAGCAATGAAAACTTCACTTCGAATACAGTATACAGTAGATTCAGATCCTTTAATAGATTTCATGAGTTAACACATTAACATCTACTTTATGTTTCTAACAAAGGTACACAAAAAAATTGTACCTATGCTAATTTTATTTAAAGGACCACTATAGGCACCCAGACCACTTCAGCTCAATGAAGTGGTCTGGGTCCAGGTCCATCTAGTTTTAAGCCTGCAGCTGAAAACATAGAAGTTTCAGAGAAACTGCTCTGTTTCACTGAGGGTTAATCCAGTCTCTAGTGGCTGACTCACTGACAGCTGCTAGAGGCGCTTCCACGATTCTCACTGTGAAAATCACAGTGAGAAGACGCTGGACGTCCACCATTGGGTGGTTTGAATGCGTGCGCGGCTCTGGCATCGCATGCGCATTTGGCTCCACTCGAGAGCTGACATTGGCAGGGGAAGGAGTGGTAACCTGTGCCGAGGGAGCCTGGCGCTGGATTAGGGTAAGAGGCTGAAGGGGTTTTAACCCCTGTGAATCATGGGAGTTGTAGTTCATCAACATCTGGAGGGCCGGAGTTAGGGAAAGCCTGCTCTATGAGATCCCTTTAACTACATTGGAATCAATATCAGATGTTGGCACTAAAAAAGGCAGACACAAAAAGTAATTAAACAAAATTAGTTATAATCACAATTTAATGTTTTAACGCAAAACAATGAAATTAAAACATTAACGTTTTCTTTTTTAGAATGTGAACTAATTCTTTACTAATATATTCACTCAAAAAAAAAAAAAACGAAAAGGTAAAATGCTGAGTTTTATTTTACATTTAATGTAACTTTATCTCATCAGCAGTTTTTAATGCTCTCCGGCATATGCAATAGGAGTAATCGAAAAATTTTCTAAAACCGTATTCATATATTTAGAATAATGATAATGCTTTCTAAAATTTGGCTTAGGTAATTGTCGCCGTTAGGTCTGCAGGTTCCAGGAATTAGCGATTAAAATTTGGAATCAAAGGACACATTGTATAAGTCAGAGCAATTTCTTGTAATAGGAAAAAACTCACAGGCACTCCAACTTCAAGCCGGTCGAAACGTTGCGTTGCATTCTGTCATAATAAATCTGCCTGCGGCTTGAAGTTGGAGTGCCTGTGAGTTTTTTCCTCTTGGATTAT